TTGCTCCCAGTCGCAGACCTGGAAGGTTGCGCTTCACCTCATAGTGACTCCTGGCCGTCTTTACTTGTGTTGGCTCCTCCTGAGGTACTTGGAGGAAAGCATCTTTCACATCCATAGATCCAAGCCAGTATTCGTCCCCTCCATCTCGCTCCTCGAGCTTCTTCATGAGGTAGATGATGGGGAGCAAGCGCAAAGTCTGACCTCCGGTTGCTGGACTGTGCACATCATCTCTCCTGTCCACTGCATACTCTCTAGCGACCAACCTGGATCTTCTGAGGAATTGCTTGGGAGCCCCCCGGAAGGTCTTGGCGGGGCTTGACCCTCCAATCTCTGACAAATCTGGTTGTCAACTTCTTGAAGCCAGCTTTCTCACCTTCCATAGCCTCTAAGACTCCCATCTTCAAAAGCCTTTGTTCCTCCACCTCATCTGCTAGATCGTCAATCCAAGTGGGTGGATCTGCTGGGACTCTATCCAACGGTGCTAACGACCAGAGTGCCTCCGGAATGGTAGTCATCTGCGGGTCTTCAACTTCTTCATCCCATGCAAGGAACTCCTCCTCACCGAAGAACTGGCATTTCCCACTTCTGTGGCTTGCACTCTCCTCTCAACATGGGCCTTCTCATCTCCAGCTTTGAAGCGCTTTGTCTCTGAACTCTCACCCTCACTCCCATGTACTGGTTTGGATGGGGTGAGCTTGAACCTCTTAGGATCTCCTTCTCCACCTTCCATGTTGAAGCTACTCTTCTGTGCTGGACTTCAAGGAGTAGTAGCAGGTGCCGAAGGACCCGTTTGGTTGTGCATTTCATCTACCATGTTCGGATCTCTGGCCTTCATCAGTGGTATGATGACCCTCTCCTCGACATAGTCCAACTTCTTCTCTTCCGCGATCTTCTGCTCTTCGCTCACTCCCTTGGCTCCTTCTGGCTTCTTCTCTTCCACTTCCACCAAGTCCTTTGCTTCCTCAAGTTTGCCAGCATAGGACTTTGAGAAGGCAATGACTTCCTTTGCATCCTCATCATGTGATGCCACTCCTCCTGCCCCCGGTGATGGCAGGCCCAGCAGTGGTCCTCTAACCATTGTTGCAACTCTCTTTGATGGAACAATTCGACCACCAAAATTCTGCTGGTATTCACATGAGTATGCCGTGAAGCCTTGGTAGCAAGCGATGTACTTCGTGCTTGCATCTGCCACTCTTCGAATTGACTTGCTGAGAAAGACTCTGTTTCCGTCTCCGATGACCCAAGCATCCTGCACCTCTGTTTTGCCCAAACAGATGCCTACCTTCCACTTCGGATCTGCTTTGAAGCCCTGCTTCTGCTTGGAGTAGGCAAAAAACCACTTCTCCGAATGGACACATCTTCCCATCATAGGCCTTGCCATGGGTCAACTCGAAACTTGTGGTGCCTCTCAAGACCTGATATCTGTTCAAAGTCCAAGCAGCATGGCGGCACGCCCAGGACCATAGTGGGTGCTGGTGTTGGAACCGAAGTCCAATCTTCTCTGCCAAACTCTCCATCATGGATGCTGCCAAACCTCGGACACGTTGGACTGCATTCTCAGCCAAAGAGTTTCCAGCTGAGTCATACAACTTGGTTGTGCGCATAGTGGTCTTCAACCCCATAGCTGTTCTTGAAGACACCAACAGACGTACAATCTGCCTGGCTGTTGGCTCGTTGTCGCAGTAGTACTGAACCGCCTCATGTCCTAAGATCTGGGTGAAAGCAAGGAGCTCATGAGTGATCAGGTTCATCTGGTTCTTTGACTTGAGGGGCAGCCCAAGCAATGAACCCGTTTCCGAGCACACTGCAACCATCAGAAGTGCGCCGCTCTCATCGTCTTGAACTCCTTCTCGAGCCGCATCCTCCTCCTCCTCTTCACCAAAAGCTCCAGAACCACGGGCTTTCACCTTGCAGAAGTCAAAGGAGATTGTAGGACACCCTTGATCATGGGACTTGCCAGTTCGCCTGTGTTGATCTGGTCTGGCACCGTGCTTGATGCATGAGGGACACCATGGAGCATAAGGGCACATGAGTGAGTTCGTGCGCCTTCCTCTCTGCTTCAGACGGGATCTTGGCTGTCACCTGCTCCACTGGGATCCTTTGGTTCATGGCTTGACCTCTTGCAGCCAAATCTCTTGCCATCATCAACTCCAAGGCTCCCTGATGGGCCACCAATCGGCTAAAGCACTTCCTCTTTCCTCCACTTTGCCCGATCTGGTAGAGCAGCGCATGCTGCTCTCAGACTTCTCAACGGGCTGTCAACTGTCAATGGGACTTCATTCACACGAATTTCTTCTGGAAGGGCAACACCAATTTCATAGCGAACCATCTGTTCTTCCAAGTCACGACCTGGATTGGGCTCTGACATTCACCTCCTGGAATGTCCATGCCTCCAAGCTCTTCCATCTCTTCATCTTGAGCCTGGGGAATGGCTAACTCTTCCATTGCTGGCTTGGGACCGAGTCGAACTGCATCATCGATCTCGAAGCCAAACATCTCTGGAACTGTTCCTTCTTGGGCCACAAACGTCATCACCTTGCTGCGGCCGACATCTCTGAGTTCTTCAATCTCATCCTCTTGCTCCTCCAGACCATCTAGAGGTTCCGCCATCTCCACCAATTCCCAACTGCCTTGCTTCTCAACCAAGGTTGATCTGCACATCCCTTCTCCCTGATCTCTAAAGCCAGGGATGAACTGCGGGCTTTGAAACCGGGTGCCAAGGTGCAAACCAACCCAAAACTCATCCTTCTTCTTCCAACCATAGCCACTTCCAGCTAGGTTCATCAACTCTTCACTCAGCCTGACTGCCAGCGTGCGGACCACCAGTGGCTCTGTGATAGCCCGGATTGAGGCTTCCACCACTAGGCTGATTCTGAAACGCTAAAGGCACCTCCAGGCTTCCATTCCGTAGGCATTGCCGTTGTCCATCTATTGACCACCCACTTCTCATCAGTCGGCCAAAAGACAGGATGGGTTGGTTCACCATGTCACTGAATGTCACTTTCTCCTTCAAGACCACCGATTGGCCCTCAGACGTCATCATCATGATATCCACGTCCTTGTGGCCATAACTCTTGATCTTCTTGCCCTGAGCATCTTGTAGGTGAAGTGCCGCTCCCAACACCTGATCACCTCTTGTGTTCCCCATGAGTCGTCCAGGGAAGATCGAGGCATCCGCTCCTGAGTCTACAATCACCTTGAGTGTTTGCAGCTCTTCTCCAACTCCAGAGGCCTCATCGACCTCTTCCTCATTCTCGGTCTCAGCAATGGTGTTGACCATGTAGCTGTCATACTCTTCTTCATCATCTGAGGCAATGTTGAAGAATTCAACCTGACTCACCATTCGAATTGAACCAGCATCACTCCCCTCTCTCAAGTCGAAGATCACTGGCTGTGAAACATGCCTGATGTTCTTGGCGCCTGCATTGGAATCACCACCTCCTCCACTCGTTGTGATCGTGGTCAGCGTGGTAGAAGGCGATGTAGTGTTGAGAACCTGCAATGCTCTGGGTTGCTGGTGCTTCGATCTGTCTCACTCTCCAGCAATCCCTTGACATGTGTCCGGGTTTGCCGCAGGTCCAACACACCTCATTGGAACCCTTGCCTTTGCCACCCTTGTTCTCCTTGCCACCTCCTTCCTTTGCCCTTGCCATCTTTTCCACTTTGCTTGCCACCTTTCCCTTTTCCTTTAGGTCTGTCATCTTTGCCCTTTGACTTTCCCTTGACATCTTTCGTCTTCCCTTTGCCCTTCTTTCCGTCTCCTTTGATGCGGTCAATCTCCATGGGCATAGGACCATTGGGATCCCCTGAACTCGTCATTGGGCTCATTCCGGAGAAAGTCAGGGCTCCAGACTCATTCCGCTTTGTGGTAGCTGTGTCAAAGGCAATGATGGCCTCTCGGATGTTGCTGTATGAGCTTCCCTCATTCAAAGTCAGATTCAAATGGGTTTTCATCTGACCTGAAACTGCCCTGAGGAGCACCGCCGACTTCATGTCTGGTGATAACCTCCCTCCAAGGCGCTCATACTGCATGTAGTGCTCTTCCAGCTTGAGGATTTGAGGCAGAAGGGAGCTCTTCATGTTGAAGCTTGGGTATGACATTATACCCCGCAGGAGGTTCATCGTCCGGTTTCTGGCTTGAGGTTGGCAGTTCATCAACAGCTGTCGAAGAGCTTCCATGCCATTGAACTTCTCCACGTTCTTGATGACCCCTGTCAACCGTCCCTGTACAAGGCTTCCCAACAAGCTGTACAAAAATCTGCTTCTCTGTTGTTCACCTTCGTCCAACAGTTCCCAGTCTACTTCTGTTGTCAAATTGGATTCCAGCTTCTCTAGTTCATCTTGGAATGCAGAGTCGACAACAACCAGGTATTGTTTGACCGTCCAGTACCAATCTCTCCACTGTAAAACTTCTTGCTCCCTATCTGTAGGATTGAAGGTACCAGGTCTTGGGATCAACTTTGCCAGATCACGCTTCAGCACCCCCTGACTTCCCCCTGCTCCTTCAGCACTGGCCCCAGCTCCTCCTCCACTGGAAGCCGCCGCCTGAGCTGCTTGAGCTGCAGCATTTGCTGCTGCTATGACCGCCTGGGCCAGCACCGGCATGTCAGACTGGTCCATCTCGCTCTTCAGCTGGGTCTCAACCTCTTCAGACAGGATCAGGTAGCCCGTCTTCTCACTTCCACCACAACGCCAGGCCGCCCAAGGATCAGCTCAGGTAGGCTCAGGCACCAATTGCGAGCAACATGCTACACTAGTTCTATGGTTGGCTCCGCACGGGCGCGCTTACACCAGGGTTCAATTTCGGAGCTCCAGCTTGCAAGATTCTGCAAGCCTTCCCGGCTCCGCTACCATGCGAGCTGTTTTCCAAGCATGAAAGGCCTGCAGTACATGGCTATACATGAGTGGTTTCATTTACGCACTTTTCATTTCTTTTGGCATCCGACTTTGAGGTCTGAAGTTTCCATGGCTGCAGCTGGGTGGTGGCCTAAACATGGACAATGCGGGTATGCAGAACATGTGTTCTTGTGTTTGCAGTCAGGCCCTACAAGTGGGCTCACTTGGAGAACATCGGGGATGCCTGGGACCAAGCACCAAGCACGCATGTGTCATTCCTTCTTGTGGGGGCTCAGGAGGGTTGGGGTGTCCAAGCTCGAGCAGATGCGAGCAGAGCGTTCTGATTTCATCTCTGCTCTCTTGCGAGGTTTACACCCCTCGAACAGGACACGCAGTTGTAAACGAGGTGGGCACTGCACAGCCACTGCCAGATGCGTGGGGCATCAAATCAAGATTCCCTCAGGCCATGTTGGAGGTAACACCGCAGATTTTGCTGGCATTTGGAAAACCCACGCGTGCGCACATCGACATCCATTTCGACATCAGCATCCCTGACCGAGGACGGTGTCTTCTACCTGTTTGGAGGCACTGATGGAGCTGCTCGACAGAGTGACGTCCACGCGTGCGCTGCCCAAAACAAAGCCTGACAGGAAGAAAGGAAATAAATAAATAAAGAAAGAAAGAAAGACCATGAGAGTCTCTGTCAGAGTAGACGCGTTGGAACCCATATGCTATAAACGAAAACATAAGCCGATGTCAGCTGCTTTCAGTTTGTTACGATCTGTGGCCCCTTTTCTAATATGCGTCACCAGCAATTTCAAGACTCGCCGTGCCATGGACTGGCGGAAGGAACCGCAACGGATGGACTCGTGATGCTTCAGGAGACGGATGAGTTTGGCATCCTATTTTCAGAATGGGTTTCATTCGCAGGCTGCAGTGCTTGGACGCTAGTTTGGATGTTGATGCACAGAGTCCTGCCACCGAAGCTTGATTGTGAGAGGACTGACTGCCCCACAAAGAGCATGCATACATTCTACGTGCGAAAACTGAATCGTATGTTTATCTACTGCTTGGCTGCCTCAGCCGCCGGCCTGTCGATTTTCTCGAGCTGTTTCTTCCGGCCGCAACCGACTGAAGCGATGCTGATGAGCTTTGGTCCAGTGCAACAGTTCTTTTTCTGGATGGCTGTAGGTCACTGGGTAACTGCACTCTGGGAGGATTGGTGCACAAGGCATTTCTTGGGGCAGGGCTTGACTGTTGAGTCAGGTGGTGGTTTGGCTCTCTTTCCTTTGAACTTGTGTTGCACTTCGGCGCAGGTGATGTATGCCACATACACTGCACATCACTTGGTGACCATTTTTGCTTATATTTATGCATTGTGGACCCGAGAGCTTGGTGGAGTCATGGTTCAAGGCTTGCTTTTTGAGCTTCCAGTCGTCTTCATGCTTCGACGTGAGCTCGGGCATGCGCAGAAGGTGCCACCCAAGTGGCTGCAGAACCCTCGCCGTGCGCGTTCACATTGGATTAGCACTTACCTTGCCTTCCTAGTGGGTCGGGGGGCCTGCTGAATGCCTTTGGATCGTCTCCATGCTTGACACACCTTTTGGCCATCCACTGTTGGAAGAAAGTCTTTCTTCTGCCAGCATTGTGGTCTACCACACCTTAGCGTTCTTCTTCACATCATTGAATGTTCGGATTCTTGGATTGCTTTTCTGCTGGCATTGGCAAGATGTGTCTCGGGCCACAGAGCACCAGAAAGAACAGGAGCAAAGCCAAGCTGCTGACAGACCTCCAAAGGAGGTATCCAAAGAGTGATCTTTTGTAAGTGTCATCAGTTTCATCAGTTTCATCATAATATTATTGAAATACCTTTGGCACCCCGCACCAACTACGTAAGTCTCAAGTTTTGCAATGTGCAATGATCAACTTTTTAATCAAAGAAGACCTTGTGCATGACTTTTCATTCGCCTTAGGGCCTTTCATGACAAAGCACATCATTGGCCCAGAGGAGAAAAAGAGCTAACCACAGGCAGTGCGGGTGACATCTCCCTTCAAGTGGCGAGGGGACACACTGAGTCTTTTGCATCTTCCGTTTATGTATATACAATCCATTTGTCTCAGGTTTGAATCTTGCCCCAGGCCCCTAGCAATTTTGGAGCTTTCATTTGGAGGATCCTTTGTGGCACCACTCATTGCCTCATGAGAAGCATAGCAGAACAACCACACCAACACTTCGTTTCACTCCTTTTTCACTCCTTGTTGCTCCCCCCTGGGGTGGCTTCACCGAGGTACAACGTGGAAACCAACCTATGGCAAGAGATCCGCGCCTCCGGCCGTGCCCCTCCGGCCCGCAGTGGAGCGCAGGCGCCCTTCGTGTGGCCTCCTCCCAGCGCCCTTCTGCAGCGTTGCCTCCTCCGGCGTCGTCGTTATTCGGATTGTGGCGCCAGGCGGTGGTCTGGAATGGAAATGTGTGGTTCTTTGGAGGCTACACCAAGAAGGAGAGGCGAACGCCACCTTTCCGGACAGCACGGCCATTTGGGGTGCCATCCTTCTCTCTTTTGCTTGGGTTTTCTTGGGCACCATTGGCTTCCCTTGGATTTCTAGCTGGCATTGCCATTTGGCTCAAGGGTTGGGGTTCAATTTAGATGGGAGGAAGGAGCAGCTGAAGGAGGGGAATCACAGTCAGTTGTGGTTTAAAGATGCATCACAATATGCACCTTCCACAGCTGCTTGTTGGACAGCTGAGGGCCATGTGGTGAAATGAGGCTTGCGTCTGGAAGTCTGCTTCGCAAGGACTGGGTGGGAGTCCAGTTGAAACTTTCATATTTCGTAGTACTTCGTAGGCGTCTTTGAGTCGATTCTCCAGCACAGCAGTGGGTGAAGCGTTCTGCAAAGCGTTCTGCAGGACCTGGCTGCAGCCTTGCAACGGGTGCAGAGCTTTCCACAAGGGAGCGTTGACTATGATGCAGCGGTCATCGTGATGGGCCCAGAGTTTCGATCTTGGTTTTATTCGTTTTCACCTTTCGACCGAGTTTGAACGGATCGATTCGTGGTTTTCAAGGCGTGTGGTCGAGCGGTGGAGTGGCAGTGGGCTTTGCAGCTGCTGACGTGGTCCCGTGGCACAGGGTGCGGTCTGGCGCTCGGAGATGAAATCAAAGTACGCGAGGAAAGTGGTTGATGAATGGTGGATTGGTCAGCTTCCTTTGTTGATTCCAGCTGGACATCGGCTTTGGACTGATTGGTGAAGCCGTCGTAGGGCGGCCAGACTGGCGGTTCTCGGCAGTCACTGTAGTCTTGTTTAGGCGCTGGCCATGCCACCGGCGCGACCAGTGGCCAGCGGCCGTCGGCCAGCGCCCACCAGCCACCGGTCACCGGCCAACCGGCCAAGCGTCCAGCGGTCAACTGGTCAGCGTCAGTCACCGGCCACCGGCCAAACAGCCAAGCGGCCAGGGGTACATCCATGAGCACACGTCTTGGGCCGCGGAGCAGCAGCATGTATCGCCCGACAAGCTTTCAGGGTTCCCATCTACCACGGCCAGCTTGTTGGCCCGAAGGTTTCCTAACTTTATAGTCTTCAGCTGGCCACCAATGCTTCCAGCCACTTCCAGCCAGCCACCAAAGCCATGTTTCAGAAGTTGCGTTACAATCTCTGGCCAAGCCTGCCAAGCCTTGCTAGCCAGGGTGCACACACTTCCTTGACATGCTGCCGACTCTCAGCTAGCCTGTTGGCAAAAGCTACTCTTAAGCTGAAACTCTACACTTACTCCCGGCCAGCTTGTTGGCTCACCCTCTTTCACAGCTGACTTGCTTGCTACAGCGCAGGGTTATAGGGGCTTCGCCTGGCCAGCTTGTTGGCCAAGCTGCGTCTTCTGTCCAGGCCACAACGCTCTTCAACACACACACACACACAAACGCGCGCTCTCGGGATATTGCGTATGGAGCCGACTGCCTTATGTCACACGCCTACCTACGTAAGAAAGCCTAAGAAGTCCAGGGAAAAGTGGGTTAGAGGCCACCGCTAGTAGGTTGGAGGCCATCGCAACAAGGTTGGAGGGCCTCGCTACTGGGTTGGAGAACATCGTGGTTCACAAGACTCAAAACTGCAAGACCCAAAACTCGAAACGCAAGGTTTGAGGTCACCACTAGTAGGGTGGAGGCCATCGCGACA